TCCTTTGACGGTAAGTTGACAATAAAAAATTAATCACTTGCAAAGCCAAATCAAAAGGAATCAATTTTACTTTGTGGTGTATAAGGAAAAATCATTTGGAAAATTGAAAATTAATTACGCTAAGAAACCCATAAAAATCAAAGGCAACAAACGCTGAAAAAATAATCAAGTTAAAGTAAAATCGAAAAAAAGGAAAAAAAAAATTAAATGAAAATGAAAATGAAAAAGGATTCAAAACAACAATTGACAATTGGGAAATGTCAAAGTAAGAGTAAAATAATGAGTTCAAAATAATTACACGTGATTTTAAAATCCTTTGACGATAGAAAGTTGATGTCAACAGAATGGAGTCAAGAAAATTCGTTATAAAAAATATAAAGGGATTGTAGGTGTACAATAGAGTGGAGCAATAAAAGTTGAAAGAAACTTAAAAGTAATTTTGATTTGAACATTTCCTATTTGTGGAAATGCCTTTGATATATTTTGAAAAATAAAAAAAAAAATAATCACAGCAGCAATATTTCAAAATTAAAAAATAATGAATTCGTATATTGAAGTAAGACACCTTAAAATTTTAATATATATGATTATGATAATATATGTACTTGTATAAGCACAATGTAACTTTCTGGCTATATCAACGAAGTTCCAAAAATTTAAATCATAGGGATTTATGTCATAGGGATTTGTCTACAGATAACATTGTCGTGTCCTAAAAACCCGTAATTATAACTTGTTCCGAACGATTTCGATATCGTGTTTCGTTTACAGTGGTAATACAATTAGCTATTACTTTAAGTTACCTATGTTCAGTTTTGTATATGCGTAATATATGATTTTAGAGCCGTATGAACAAATGAGCTATATAGTAGTTATTGGTGTGAAAGCAAGAGATGCATTATCAATAAGCCTTTTCGGTGGCTCGCAAGTATGGCAAAAAACAGCAAGTTGCTGGCCTATACTGGCCGAAATGTACGCAAAACAACAGCGCTATTTTTTCTACCTCGGCCAGTACAGGGATACTGTTCAAACACACTGGCCAGTAAATAAAAGTGTTACCAACGCCATAAGCGAATTATTGTAAACCTTCATTGGAAATTCCAAAAATCATATATTAATAAAAATTCGAAAAAAATTCAAAAAATTCATAAATTTAAAAATTGAGGAAAAAGAAAAAATCTTAGGGTTTTATATTGAAATTCCCAACATTTTTGCCATTCCTTTCCATTCCAATGTAAACTGCTTGCATTATGTGCTCAAATGCAAGATTTATTATTTGCCAAAACATAACACTTGACAGATTGTAACAGTGATGCCAATGTCTCGCGTAGCGAGTATAGGTATTAATATATATAATGTAAGAGCAAATTTTGTTCCACTCGATAATTGCATACCAACGTAATTACAAGTTTAAGCGGGAATAGCCGTAATTTTTCTTTCAGATTTGTAAAAAAACAGCATTAAGTCTGGTTAAAACCAATTGACATCACTCTTAAAATATGTTAAAAGAGTTTTTGATATATTGGAATGAATATTAGAATGGCAATGGTAAGTATTTTTATCTTATATATATTAAAATTAATTAATTTATTTGAATTTATTACTAAATGAAATTCTCATATGATTTTAATGGATGAGTGGAATTTTGCAACATATTTCCAATGAACATTCACAATAGACTGATTTTGTGGCTAGTAAAACTTAACTCTGAAGATTTTAAGAGCATTGTTGTTGCTTCACATGTTTTCTTTTGTAAGTTACGAGTCTTTTTTGCTTCTCTGAAAGAAAAAGTTACGCCAAATATTTATGAGTAACTATTAAGGAATTCATTGAAATAAGACACTACTAAAATTCTCATAACTCCACAAATAGTAAAACTGGATAGAATAAAATATAATTTCTTTTTCAGATTTTAGAAGATTTAGTAGTGAGTAAATGGTTTGTAATGTGATTTATTTTTGAATAGCCTACAAATGAATAGTATCCTTATAAATTCTAACATTCTCTTAAAAAAAGAGACCGTGACTTTTCTTCTTCTCTACTTGACGGTTGTTTTCCACATCCTTAAGTATAAATTGCAGTATGTTAGCAATGTTGGTTGCTCTTAGATCTTCTTTGTGATTCGAGTTAAATTAGTTCAATGTTATACGATTATATACATAAGTTTTAATATTATTATTATTAAAAAAAATGTTTCACTGCAACCTATCTATTGTTGTATCTATAGATCTATTGTTAGTAGAATCAACAATTGATTAATCGGAATTCAGATGGCAGAAACTTCTCACATTTTTATTATTGACACAAATGAGACTACCTTTTTAGACCACCGTAAGCCTTAAAAGGGCTTAGTCAAGGTGCTGATTCATAATTGGAGAACTTTTCTTCTTAGGATTGCAAGCTGTTTAATCACCTTGCTCCATTACTAGGTATTCAAGTCAGTGTTAATGTATTTGTAATAACCACCTTAGATATAAATAATACATTTTAATATGAATAAATATTTTTTTTAATATATTTTCAGCAGATATTTTTATGAACTTGAAGACAATGTTTTGATTAAAAACGTAGAATTCTTTTTATATGGCCTAACATAGAACCTATAAATACTACAATAAACATATTTTATTGTTTCTATATAACGGAGTTATAACATAATTTTATATTTCCAGTTGAAAAATCTTTATTTCTAAAGATAAACATAGAAAGTGAGTAAATTTGAGTTCTTTATTTGCTAATTGACGCCCACTGGTGACGCCCAACAAACTGCAACTGCAGTTGACAAGAACAGTTTTGGTTTCTTTGTCAAGGTGTGCAGACGTCACTGAATGCAATTTAATTGAGGTTTTTCGAAATAAGCATTTTTCAAATTGTAAAAGAGCTAAGCCAGTGTCAGGAAAATACTATATGTAAGAAAACTGAAACCACGGACGGACGTGGATGTTTTTACGTATCCTGCTGTGTGGAATTTCGCCCGACAGGCTTGAAATATGAACCTCAAGAAACGGTAACGAGAATGAAGCCAATGAAAAAAGTTTTAGTTGTTGGATGAAGAACGGCTGCTAAAAATTTGGAAAATATTTCAATTAATTTTTTAAATATCGAAAATATTTTATATAATTAGTATTATATTTTTATTTTAAATAAAAAAATTTTTTATTTTTTTTTTTCGTTGAAAAATATTGTTTGTACAATGAGGAATAAATATTTGAAATAAAAGCATCAGATTAATATTATTATTGCTTAGTCGGATGAAGTGATAAACAATAATCCAGTCAAAGCGTAAAGAGGGGTTTTGAAAATACCTCGAGTTAAGAAAGAGTAAAAGTGCTGAAGTGCACTAGCTCAAATAGCTTCAACATAATATATAGATTAATATTGTCACGTTTTATTAAATTAAGGTAAGATTTATTGAATAAAATATCTTTAGAAAAACTGAAATAATTTTGTACCAATTGAAGAAGTGCATATTAGCTGCACTAATTTAGTATAACGAAATTATTTAAAGTGTATAATTAATACGTATTTATTATCAACTTTTTTGAAGTCTTTTATCGAATGTTTTTATCGATTATACTTAAGGATGTGGAGATAAGCAGATAGTATGTGCAAGGACTACTTATACCGTTAAATAAAAAACTGTCTCAACAAATGGCACCGGAAGAAAATGGTTCATATTAGAGTAAGTATAAGAATATATTGGAGTGACAAGAATAAGAATAAAATTGTCACTTTTCAGTTTCTGTAGAGTAAGTGTACTACGTTTTGTGGCAATATATCAGTTAATTTAATTACTACGATAAGATCTAAGCAATATTTGTTAGTAAGCTCGCTCAGCGATATGCTCTCATCTGTAGGCAGTGGCAATAATGAGCAGAGATTTGTACATAAAACAGCTGACATGTATGGATTTACTCTCTTAGTTCTAATTTATTAAATTAGTAATTAAAATATTATTTTGACATTAAGATATGAACTTTTAAACTAATGTTGGATATTAATAATGGGTGTTTTTTGTATAGCTTCAGAATTTTAATCGGTGTTTAACTGCTTATCAAAGAAAATCTTTGTTATTTAATTTTCAGCAGGTTTTTGGCCTACAGCTTGAAATAAATAGTATTCTGATGGTGCAAGGTTAGGGCTAAACGATGGACACATTAAAATTTCTCAACCTAGTTCTATCAATTTGTTTTGAATCATGAAACAAAAGTGTACACTGGAACACAAGTCTTTTTATCTTGTTCCATTTTTTTCACTTTAGCTGAATTATTTAATTCAATCAGTCGAGTTATGACTACTAAAGGACAAATTTCACCGTTGCACTAGGCTAGAATAGCTCTTATTAGACAATTTTTTTATATGAAGCACCCATGAAGCACTTAACATAATATTGTATGCCCTCAATTCAGGACTTGAAGTGGTTTAACGAGGTTCGCTAGCTTCTTAATTGAGTACTTTCATTGGATATTACCGTTGCTAATCTGTTTTTCATCACTCTTAATAGTTCAACATTGTTTTATTGATGGTGATTCGGTCAATCAAATTTCTTTGCGTTAATTCTTGTGATGTCATTGAGCATTTTTGCGAACCCTATTCTTTTTTAATAAATTCAAACGGTTATATCGAAGATATTTTAATGCCTCTGCTATCTTCTGACAGCTTTCATGTTAGTCTCGCTCAACTATTTGCAATATTTCATCGACTTTTTAGTGATGGAACAATCAGCGAGATTGTATCTCTGATATTAAAAATTCATGCGTTTCCTCACAACATTCTCTTCATAAATCGTACACATTTTTCGGGATACTTTTACATCAGTATAATTTTTTTTATAATAATAAAAAATTAAATGGGGAATGCATAACCTAACGTCGATTCCCACGTTTTTGTCGATTATAAAGCAGGTTTATATACCCATAAGGGGTCGCTATAGACAATTTACAGATCTCCTAAGGTCAGATGTTTGTCGTAATGGATCAATATATTACAAATGTGTCCAGCTTTTTGCTTACGCGGACGACATCGACATCACTGAGCGTAGCAAGCGTAATGTTACAGCTGTCATTGCTGCTATCGAAAAGGAATCTGCAAAAATGGACTTCGCGGAGAATGAGGGCAAAACGAAGTATATGTCGTCTACTGGTAGTCTGACGCCGACGTAGTGGCTGACGACTTTACTTTCATCTATCAAGGATCACATCTGCCTTGGCATCGTCGTAATGAACAACAACGATGTCAAACTTGAGATCAGTCGAAGAATTACCATTGCCAATAAGTGCTACTGTGGGCTTAGCAGAGAATTGAAATATAGAGCTCTCTCTGGACAAACAAGACTTACGCTCTATATGTCACTTATCCTTTCTGTGTTTCTGTATGGCGTAGAAGCATGGAGATTATCACAGAATGATGAAACAGCACTGGGAGTTTCCGAGAGAAAATTTTATCGTTAGATCTTTGGTCCTCTACAAGTTGGCGATTACAACCACATCTAAATGATCCATAAACTGTATGAGCTTTATCACGACATTAATAAAGTTAAGCGAATCCAACGGTTTTATTGAATTCGTCATGTCATGAAAATAGATGAAGATGCTCCAGAGAAAAAGGTATTTGAAGCGGTAATTGAAGAAAGAAGGCGCAGAGGAAGACCATGTCTATAGATCAATGCAGACACCCTAGGGTTGATGTACGACCCTAGAAAAGAGACGCACGCGGCAGAGGCGCCTGCAGAGATATGCTGCGTCAGGCCAGAACTCGGTAACGGGTTCTTTAAGCTAAATAAATATATAAGTAAATAATAAGGCATATTTCTTTAGAAATTTGACTCATTTTAAAATCACTAATAGTTTTAACATTACCTAGTGTTGCGAGATATATGGATACTAACAACATTTTGCTATAAATAAACGACGGATACTTTTTATATTACTTAATATTATTTTAGAAATTATTTAGAAATTATTAATTAATTTACAATTTTTATACAGTATTATTTCTATATTCTATAATTATATATATTGTATAATATTAAATATATTTATTTTGATGTTGATGCTCGTTGAGTCAGTGCACTTAAGCACTTTTACTCTCTATTAACTGCGAGGTTTCTTCATAATTCCTTTCTACGCATACCGCCCCGAGGAGCTTGTAACCATTCTGAGATGCGATGTTGGTAAGTCTGTCAGTTTCGTAAATAATTTCAGGGCTTTATCCTTTATGTATTTTTTGATTGAATCAATCTTAAGATCCCTGAGGATGTCCTCCGTCCTCAATGTTCCATGGTACCTTGAATAGTCTTTTTAGAGACTGGCTTTGTGCATGTGTATTTAATATTTAATATAATAATTATATTTCATAAATTACTATACATTCTACACAAAATAAATATTACGGCTAAGTACAAATTCTGTGTTGAGTTATAACTGATCCAACTAATTAATCAAAAAAAATTTTTTTTTAATTATTTATATAATATATTTTCCACATATTTTGTTTAGCTTTTTTATAATTTTTAATTACTTAAGTTCAAACTTATTTTCAGCTCAATTACCTTAAAAGTTTGGGATTAAAATTTTTTGGAAACAGAAATTTTTTCTCACATTTTTTGCCAATTTCGTGACCCTCCACTGGGCTTGTGGTCATAAACAAACCGTGGGATTCTACGCTTACCACTAAACGCGATAAAAACCAAAAACCTTTTAATGACACTTCAGCTAACATAAGTGGCCACTTCTTTAATATGTAGAACAAAAATCCTTAGAGTAGAAATCAAAATTTTGAAGTACATTTAAGGTTTTAAATGCATCACGAAACAAAGCAAATAAGCATATGTGTTTAACGATATGAAATCAACCCCTAAAGCTTCCAAGGATGTTTGTGCCACATAAAATCGGCCGTGTTGTTGGAAAGTGTTCCTTGAAGAACTGATTGAACTGTATATTTCGACAAACAAGCAACAATGAAATTTCCATACACTTCTTATATGCAACAGGAATCGGAATCGGAATCGGGAACCGAAGAGTGCTATTGTGCGTTGCCCTACAATTGGTTTCTTTAGATTTTAATTATTTTGCTGCGAGATTGTTAACTGCAAACGTCAACTTCTTAATTTGTGGAAAGGAGGGAAGCGAACCAAATAAACCAAACCAATGAAACCAACGCCACCACCGCCGTAGACGGAGTCTTAAGTGGCTCGTTTCAATTTCGCTTTAAAAACTTTTCCATTATTTCATATTTCATATTTTTCGCATCCAGCACACTTCAGTCTTGCCCTTACATTATATCCACACAAAGTTTCCGTCTAAGTTGCAAGCAACAAAATAGAAATTGACGTCGTTTAGTTAAGTGGCCAGGAGTGCCTTCGCATCGGTGAGGCTGCCGATTCCGTGCGATGCCATTTGCATATGCGAACCGGGAGAGTCTGAGATTTTCACATTGATTTTGTGTAAAGTTAATGATTGCTTATAATTGATTTCTCATATTTAATAAATTATGACATTTAGTGTCTTTTGGTTTAATGAACTGTGACGTATGAGTGCCTCGAAATTAATGAATTTGCTTCGCTTTAACACGTTTTGTAAAGGCATTCTGTATTCCTACTGCATCTTTTCTGGGTGCATTGAAATTCTAGGGCCTTCTAAGACTTAACAGAACTTAAGTGGGTCTCAGAGTGCATATATGTACTATGCAGGGTTTTTACATGGTTTCATAATGAATCACAAAACATGTGGGAATATATTTTTTCCAAGTGCTTAAATGCAAAAAAAAAAAAATGCAATGAAATGCAATTCTTAATCTCAAGAATCAACTAGCAAAAAAACAGGCATTTCACAAATACGTGTATTGTTATGGTCTGTATATGTCCCAATTATTATTTTTAAGCAGAACAACATATATATACTATACCTATATATATGTTGAATACAAATATACATAAAGATTATTTAAATACACACTCCTACCCAGTTCTTTGTCACATAATTACTCCACAAAAACCAATTATGCCAAAGATACCAAAAGATAAAAATGCTTGCTAAAGTAATAATTACACATGTTTACACATGTTCCTGGAATTATCCTTTAAGTAAATACCACAAATTGTATCAAAATATTTGTTTAACTTCCGATTTTACACTGAACTGCACAATGCCAAGATGCGGAAATAGTTTCTCACGCACAATTTTCCTCTTGGGCAATTTTCTTCGTACCAAGGGATGGATAGATGTGGAAGCATTTATTGTACTTCTTCCAGAAAAGGATAATTGTTTGCATAAGTAAAGGTATGCAATATCCGGTAGGTTCAAAGTACATTGTGGACATAGGTCAGTGTTGCTAAAATAACAAAAGCAAAAAAATTAAAAAGCAAAGTGTATTACATTTTTTTTATGAATATAAATTGAATAGAAAACTATGAATCGGAAATAGTAAAAGATATTTTTGCAACAATCAATTGAACAATAATTCCTAAAGAAAGTACGAATAGTATTGTAATCTGCATCCCGCCCATTTAAATTCGTTTAATGAAGTTAAAGTATAAAACGATTTTTGGTCCATACAAGTGAATTTACTGAGAATTTTGTGTAATTTGTCAATTTTAATAAAAGATAAATGAAGTAAAAAGGTATCGACTTTTTAATTAAACAAGTCTTTATTGAACTTCATAATTTGTAAAAAACAATAAACAAAAAATATAATCCCATATACTTTATAAATAAAATATAGAGAGATACGAATGTCTCATGTTTATGTTTAAATTATTATTAATCAAATTTTTTTATAAATTAGTGATAATTTTTATTACAATAATTGTCAAATTATATCTAATACGAGGAACTCTAATTATATTTTGAGCCTTATAATGAAACATACTAACTTGTCGTTGAAAATTACTTTTTTGTTTTTCGAAGTATTCGTCTTTATGATTTTGTATGCGTTCGAACCGTTTGTCAAAGCCTTTTTTCAAATCTTCTTCAGATAGCTCCAAACATGATTTTTAAATGCAACAACGGCTTCTTCTGCCGACAAAAATCTTCCGATCGTTGTCCACGTGATAGTGAAGAATATTAATAAAGGATAAAGAAAAATTTTGACGTTTGGGTTCGGGAACAAATAGATACCATTGGGTGTCAAATCAGGACTGTACGGCGAATGACCCATCAAATTGTATTTTTAAATGTTTAAATAGTTGGTTGTTAGACGAGATGTGTGAGCACTCGCATTGTCTTGATGATCTGATGGCGCTTGTTTGTTTTTCATATTACACCGAAGACTTTCGGTTAATAAATAATTATATACCATTCGAAATTGACGTAATGGTATCCATATAGTTGCCACATGACCAGTTTTGCTAAAAACACAAGCGACCATTTGTTTCCAAGTGCTTCGAACGTGAACCACGTTTTCCAATTGGTTTCGTTTTTTCTCAATTTAGCCGCAAACAATCTCTCTTGAGATAATAAGTAGACTTTATGAACAATTTCAAAATGGTAACAAATAAGCTTCTCATTCAAATAACTCATGTTATATTTCTACAGATTTAAATGTTTTAAAAGCGTCCAAATCTATACGACAGTTCAAGTATGTGTTCTTTTATGTCTTCTTATTGTTAAACTATTATCTATTCGGTTTGAAGTTGCGATATTATGATAGTTGTGTAACCGATCCATATATCTATTCCTTAAAGTGCATGTTTCGTTCTTTGTATCGGGAATATTGTGATCATTAGGTATCTTTGTATTAGAAAACTGAAACTCTTTATAAACTATAGTTGGCATTGTTTTTATTAAGTCATGTTAAACAATTCCTATATCAGAATTACCTAGAAATACACTACAGTTCGAACTGTTTATATTTAATCATGTAAAAGAATTCCTTCATCAGAATTACCCAGATATACCATATATCAAATTTCAAAATTTAAATTTAAATTGAGGAATTGCTGAATCATTCAACAAAACCTTTGCCAGCTCCTCTCAATAATAAAACCAGACTTCAGCCACGCCGATCTAAGAGACTTTGAGAGACGACTTCATAGTTGTAGTCTTAAACCTCAAAACTGAATTAACTAAGAATTTACTTAGAAAATTTGATCATTTAAGCATGACTTAAGTCAGTAGTATTGAAGATTTAGGTTAGAACTTTGGAATCGACCCTATATGCTGTT